TCAGTGCTGATTGAATTTTATCAAAGTTTATGTAAAACTAATAACGTTGAATAAATTATTTTAAATAAACATAATGTCCAAAAGTAATTTTGAAATACCGATCAGAATTGTAATTACTTGCAGTTTATGTAACCAGCACAAAGATCAAACAGTCGTTTCCTTTTTAACGCACAACTCAGATTTTAGACAAGTTTAATAAATATATTTTCAACAAATATGACAAGACTACCATTGTTAGTACACATCAATGTCTAGTTGTATGTATTTCTCACATAATCGCATAGAAATCACCTCCTATCTTATTATGAAAAGCATAATCTTTTGCGATTTCATCTGTAAAGTCAACACAGAATGTATTCACCACAAGTTTATCGATTGCTTTAGTAACATGTGTATTTTTGGAAAGCCACTGTAGGGCCAGTGAAATGTCACTGAGCCCTAGCCAAATCATCCGGCAGTTGGATCACTGAATGTCGAACAGATCATCGCTCCCTGCCAAAGTCATGTACAATCAACGCGCATTAGTTAATGATATGCCATGGACTGGTGCATGCGGCAGTGGTCCTACTTTCGCTTGTATCTACTTTAATTAATATATTTCTGTAATAACGTTCTCTGTGTTGTACAGTCTTCAGAGCATCTATAGTACCTTGATACGTCAATGAGGTAGTCCATGTAAGGTGCCGACCACGAGGTGTGACTTCGACGTTAGCTGGTTCGTCACACCATTCACGTCTAACTCGAGTAGGTCTCCAATCATTTCGACATAGATCATCTACGTTGGTGATCTACACCATCAAGCTGAAGCACGAGGCAACCCATAACATTGAATCCTGAAGGGAAGAAGAAAAGAGGAAGACCCAAAAACATATTGTGTCAGGAACTGGAGGTAGACATTAAAAGAATGAATGGAAGTTGAAAACAGCTAGAAAGGAAAGCCCGGAACAGAGTTGGTTGAAGAATCCAGATTAGTGGACTATTCGCCTGCACGAATGGTAACACGCGTAAGTAAGTATTAAAAACGTTTCTACAGTTCATCATCAGAAAAGTTAGAAGTAACTACTTTGAATCGCTATATGCTCTCCCATTAATCTAAAACAAAACTAATGCCGAGTTCATTACAAAAACATATTTCTTAGACAAATCATATTGGTGATAATTCATATATGCAAACTTAGGACTTTCTGAATAATTATATTGAGTCACTACTTTAAAGTTGGTGTTGAGTACCCTGTCTAGATTTACAACCCTTTGCAATCAAATTGTGTAGTTTAGAAGCATGTATTATCGTCAGAGAAGAGCGTAAACTGAATATGTTGTAGCTTTTATTTTTACATTAATGATGGTTTTATTATATATAAGCATTATTATGGTAAAACTTGTCATTATCGAAAAGACAAGGTCTATGTTTCACCAAAAGCCCAAACAGCATGAAAACGATTGTGTCACATCCCATTGTGTCTATCAATTTACATGTATGTGTGGAAACACGTACATAGGGAGGAGCAGTCGTGATTTGCACTCAAGGGTGGGTGAACATATACCAAAATGGTTGCAGAATCAGATGAATTCCAATGGTGAAATAAGATCACAGGATAGACAGACATCATCATCCATTGCGAAACATTTGATTGAGACGGGTCATAAGGTTGATATCAAATCAGCATTTGTTGTTTTGTACAAAAGCCTTCAAGGACGTATACTAAGGTTTATTGAAGCCATAGCTATAGGAAAATTGAAACCCCCTTTATGTGTTCAAAAACAATTTGTACTTACACTTAACCTACCCTGGTAGTACTGATTTACTATCCAGAGTGGTAATCACATTTGTTTTTGTGTACTTTAATATTTTTCCTTTGTTATGACTTACCCTTAACCTGTCTAGTTGACCTTTTAATTTTCATATACAAATGTTCTTAACAAGTATATGTGTGATCAGATTGTTCGAAATGTATTGCGTAAATATATCACATATTTGTCGTAATCTTCGTCTTCTCATTGCATTATCGAAATTTATCAAAGGGACTAATTGTTTTAAGACTATTTTAATAAATTGTATTAAACTTCAGCTGTTGGCTAATGTTTAAAAATGTTAAAAAAAGTTGATTTCAATAAGGTTATTTAAAAAACAATAAATAATACCCTACTCTTCTCCATGGAAGAGAAAGTTGTATACCTCTACTTAGAAGTTAGGTGATTACGAAAGCTTTTAGTTGTCTCTAAACTGTCCCTGTGTTTCTTTGTACAATAAGACAGTGAATGATAAATACCAGTCAAACTTAACTCCATTTAACCCTTGTTGTAGTCTAATATTTTAGTCAACCATACTCATAATCTGAACATAACATATCTAAAGACTTTCATAACTAATCCTTTAGTTCCTGCTATTATCTGGCGCTAAAAGTTAGTTCTCTTCAGATTATTTGAATGAAATTAGGATTGTATCACTTTCGTACAAAACATCCTACTAGTTGACCTTAGACCTGATATACAGGAAAGGAAGAGAAAGACAAGTAGAAAAAATTAACTGAATTGAGATTAGTACATAATAAGAGTTGGTTTAATTAAAAACACAACTAGGGAAAAATTCTTTTATTTAATGATACTCCTTTCACTTTTATGAAGAATTTGGAAGAAAATTATAGTATAATTTACCATTGGTTTCTGCTTTTAATCATATCTGTAAACATTCACTAGATTAAGGTAAACCATCACTTAGATCAAAATAAATCGACATAAACTTTCTTGGATACTACGTTGACTGATCACAAACTCATCAAGTTCGGTTCAAATCCATCTTCAAACTGTTACATCCAATTGAGCTGTATTACAGAAGTATTGTGAATCGCGAGTTGGCTACTCTAAATTCTACCGATTGATAAGCTTCAGATATCCCAGTTCGACCCCAATACTGTTCCCAATCTCCAATATATCAGAACACGAACCGTAGATGAAAAATAGTTTATGGGGTCACGAGCAGCAGAATAATGATTTACAAACAAATGCATATTTATACAGTTAGGATTACTATAAATATTGACCAACAGAAAGATGACGCGTTAAATAATATTGACCAATAGGAAAATGACACGCGAAATAAATATTGATCAGTAGGGAAACGACCAATAGGGAAATGACACCATTTAACGTTCAAGGGTAGCGTTAGACTTAACCGGATAATTGTTTTTGGGATATTTTTCTGAGTATCCCAACAAGTTAATTTCCAATGTTAAAGTCTAAGCATAATTACTGAATTTTAAGTTCTATTAACATTTATGTAATAACTTGTTTTGTCTATGAAAATAATAAACTCATTATACATTAATATAAAGATCTCTCACATACACCTGTCTAATCAAAAGTTGACATTTGCCAAAAATCCCTGATAAAACAGAAATGCATCTTGTGACATCTACTTTGACCCATCTAAAGGTAATATAATTCAAAAAATTGAATAAAAATAAGAAACATAAATACACATGATGTTGTTTTACTTGTTTCTTCTCACTGTTATTTAAGACTGTAATTGATCCGTTTCATGTTGGCATATGTGCATCCTGTACAGATTTATTTAATCCACCCTTAAGTCACAAGCTTTATAAGCAAAGATGGATAATTCTATTTGGGAATCGTCAGTTGGATGTACCTGCATCTCAGAGTTAATGTTCACCCCGAAATTCAAACCCAGTACCGTTCGTTTCAAAACGAAACGCGCTTCCTACATTCTACTGCTAGGCACTATCCATCTTTCCTTAAAATAAGAAACAGTTATATTTTAAGGTTATAAAATATCTTTCTTGGTTCTAATTCACTCTCACTGTCAAGTTTAATACTTCATTGTACAAAAATGATAAATTCACATAACTTTATACATAATTTTTATACCTTTAAGTTCAACAATTGTATTTATGTTATATTCGGTCGTCACTGATTGCTATGCCGGAAAAAAGCTGATCACTTATACTGGGAACGAGTGACCTCTGCAATTCCCACGACGCGAAAGTAAGAACACAAAGACTGGTATAAGTGAAAATTTATTAGCCCCCAAAACACTATGACGACGACGATAATGATGATAATACTAATGAATCACAATAGTTTAAAATACACTCATTTATATATTGATTGTACACCCATTTTGATTAAATCTCATACTCAGTTATAACAAATCACTTACTGAGCATAGTTCATGTCAATTGAATACAAGAATATCGTTTATTATACAGAAGGAAATATCATACTGGGAAAACAAATCAACTACTACACTGCATGATCCTCACGTTGAATCATAATATGTAAATCAATCGAACATTGACTTTTTTTCCATCATATCAATTTATTAGAGTTCTTGAACGTTTTATATATTCTAATAATAGACGGAACAGTTTAATATTCTTACTCATACCTTAAAATTGAACATTGTTAAATATAAATAAAACGGTAAATAACTGATCAAATCACAAATAAAATAGATGTGAAAATTATATTTGAAATATTCTCAGCGATTGAAATTTAAATAATTCCAACGTTTCGTCCTGCAAATTTGTCTGGACCTCTTCAGAGTAATAATCAAAATGATGATTTGATGAAGTTCAGACAAGTTTGCTGAACGAAAGGTTGGAATTATTTAAATTTCAATCGCTGAGAATATTTCGAATATAATTTTCATATATAATGACTTGTCTATATTCGGCGCTCGATTTCTGTCAAACTATTCGTCCTAATCTTGACGAATATTCGTACAAATAAAATAGCTTATTATAGTTCATTGATACTATTTTGAATTTCACTATACCTTCAAGATTACATATACATCTTAATTAATAGATATACTAAGGTATATATCTAATTATCTAACATTTCAATATCATACTATCAATGTTATATTACTTAGTCTATGGATCATATCACAATTTAATGAATAAAATTCATTCATAATTAAAGAGTTAAACAAACATGAAATCAATCACTAATCAGTGATAAATTGATTATTCCTTTTTAACTATCTTTATTCATAAATAATAATTTTGAACAAAATTGACAAGAAAATAAATGATTCTGTATAAATGTATCATTATTATTTAATCAAATTAAAATATACATCATAAATAATTTAAAGGAAAGCTCATGAATTAAAAAAAAAAGAAAAAAAGAAAAGAAAAAAAAAGAAGAAAAAGCGGGGAAAAGAACTTATAAGAAGTTGTTTGTTTGTTTGTTCGTCTTTGATATGATTTACTCAATTCTCAATAATGACACGTACAATTTCATAACATGATACATAGATATATATTCATGTATAATAGTTATATATACATTCAATCAACTAACTTAGAATTGGTTCGTTTTCTTTTCATTATCATATTATATTGAATTAATAACCTTCTAATTTTCCATATGGATGATTTGTTGGTGAATAATTCGATTCATCATCTGTTGTATCATCATTATTTTCAAATGTTATATTGGCTTTCATTTCTTTTAAATCTTTATATTTTTCATGACCATGTAATTTGGAATTAAGATTAAATTTAGCACGACCATGTGTATTTTTATAATGTTTAACTTGTCCTTCTGTATCATATGTAGAAAAATATTTTGGTTTACCATGTTTTGTTGATAAACTACCTTTATGAAATGTTGTTGTTAATGAATAATCCGATCCTTGATATGTATCAGTAAAACCAAATAATTCACCAACTGATTTTATATGTTTTTCACCATGTTTTTGATGAATATGTTTAGCTTCACCTTCAATAAGATATTTTCTTGTAAGATGCATTTTTTTAGGTTTTTTATTAGTATATCTTTTAGATGGATAATAATTACCATGTTTTCTACGATTGTGACCATAATAATAATGGTTATTATTATTATTATTACCATCATAACGTTTACCTTCATTATTATTATTATTATTATCGTAATTATTATAATAATAATAATGGTTACTAGGGCTATATTGATTATTTAATTGTCTACGATAATTATTTGGATATGTTTGATAATTATATTGAATAGTCACAGTAAATAATGTAATAATTAATAAACAAACATATAAAATCTTCATTATGATTTAATGTAAACACAAATGTGAAATAACTTCTTCTTCGTTTCTTTTCTTTTTTTGTCCTTTTTTCTTCTTCTCAAAATAAGGTATATTTATATAGTGAACTTTTAATTCATATCAAATTAAGTACATCAGTTAAGATGAAGTGAACTTTAATGAGAGAAGAAAAAATAAATAAATAAAATACAAGTGCAAATTAAGCGATACAATCATTAAAATAATGGTCAGATTTAAACATGATACATTTAGTAGAATGAGGATTTGTGAAGATTGTAGTAATTTAGATCACTAGTGAAAACCTAAGAAGTACTGGATGACTGTTTCGTCCTAGTATGGGACTTCCCAGTAGTATATACTTACGATCCCACACTCGGGAGTCAAATCCAAGACCTTTGGTCTCGCGTGTGAACGCTTCAACTCTAGACGAGTGAACCTGTATCTGTTAATGTCTAACTTCAATCGATCCATGGGCTTGGGTGACTTTTTATCCATTGCCTGAGATGGATAATTGTTTCACATCTGACACGAATTTGACTCCACTGGTCATGGCTTCTCACTAGGACTCCAGAAAATCCATCTTGAAATTGGTCAATTATCGAACATTGAACCATGGAATAGGATATCAGAAGTTTAACTTAATCATTTCTTTATCAGAATAAATTAATTTTACATGCAGTAAAGAATCAAAAACTTTAAAAGTGACTGACTTAATTCACTTACTAGGTACAGACTTGTGTACCTAGCTTTCAGTCAGAAACTGACTGTGAGAGATTATAATCCTACCTGGTCAGATAAACCGAGATAAGTGGAACAGATTTTGATCATGTAGCATAATGCTTGAAAATCAAATGCCTTCACTAGTTATCCACCTTTCGCTTTCCTCTGAAAGACATGCGTCTAATGTAACATTTAATACACGTGAGCATCTTGATGGAGTTTTTTTCTCCGAACTCGATGCTTTGGTCGTGGAGCTTGCATCGTTCTTCTGAACAACATCATCAGCACAAACTTCATGTAGACTTCTACAGAGAACGAACGTCCATCAAAATCACCCACCTGAGCTACAAATTTTCTCCACCATCGCACTATGGAGTGTACCTGGATAAAACGAACCCTAAATAATGAAAAATCTGTTGTTAACTTGATCAATAAAAATGAATTGCTAACAAGAATCTAATAAATTGTTTTAAACTAACTGTCATTAGATCTAGTGTTAATCATGGTAAAATATAACTGATCAGCTAGAAAGGTTTAGCCAAATTTGAAAAGCTTCATCACGTATTTGTTGTATTTATGAAGCAATCATCAGTGATTATACAAGGTAAAGGAAACAGCTAAATTCTACATTTACAGTAATAAAATAGTACTGACTAAGCATTGATGTAACGTTACAAATGTACAGTTTGATAGTGACTATGAAAATACTATTGAGTAATGAACTAATTAATTGGAATAAGAAGGATTGTAGTAATCAAAGTAATTATTTATGAAAATTAAAACCACATAATTGTAATCTGGAAACTGTTCGATTGCCTTATAAGCACATATGGATATTAGCTGACAGTGGAATCCGCTGCTAGCCACCATATATCTCAGTTTATAATGCTTGTAATCTAAGGTGATATCGAGGCAATCTGTACAGGATTCACATATACTAATAAGTAACTGATCAACTACAGTCCTAAACATCGTAAAGGAAGATTCAAACAACCAATAAAAAACAAATTAAACTTCACTCTATTGCACAAGCTAGTGGCTATCAGAATTCAGTAACTAAATGGTTAATGCGCTTGCGTTTCAAGCAAGTACTGGGTTCGAGTCCCGGACTGCGAATTAACTCTGAAATGCAGGCACACCCAGCTGACGAGTCCTGAATAGGGTGAAACGGGCGTCGTGGATTTCACCTCTAGATACCATCCATCTCCGCTTATAACGCAATTGCATGGCTTCCAGATTACTTACTTACGCCTGTTATTCCCAATGGAGCATAGGTCGCAGACCAGCATTCTCCAACCCACTCTGTCCTGGGCCTTCTTTTCTGATTCCATCCAATTCTTGTTCATTTTTCTCATGTCTATCTCCATTTCTCGGCCTAATGTGTTCTTTGGTCTTCCTCTTTTCCTTTGGCCTTGAGGATTCCATGTGAGGGCTTGTCTTGTGATGCAGTTGGGTGATTTCCTCAATGTGTGTCCTATCCACTTCCAGCGCTTCCAGATTACAAATTATTTAATATTATAAGTCAGTTTTTGAACGTTTTGTGACGATCAAGTGAATGATACCGGCATGAAAATATATATCCCTTTAATTCCATTACATTTACTTGCATTGCTGTTTCACTATGATGATACATATTCACGCCTAACCAATTACACTGTTATTAGCATGTTAGGTTGATGATAATTTTGCTTTTAAAATAGCATTGGTTGTAAGCAGCTAATGAGAACCCAAAGTAGTATAAGTAATTGATTTTATTCTGCCCAATCCATTGTTCTTTCTGTTTTCGAAATAAAAAAACTTTTCGAGTTCTTTTTCGAAAGAATAGGTTTCGTTAAAGTTAAGATAAAACTCATTTCCGTATCGATAACCAAGGTAGAGAGAAGCGGTGTACACGTCTTTTCAGTATGAAGCATATATTTATGAATATGGATTTCTATATCCTCAGTAGTACGCAAACGACAAACCATTAAAACATGCAGTAAATTTGATGTAACACATTGCATAATTTTAAAAACATCTAAATTAACTTGATATCCTCTGTCCATCAACCGAACGAGAATAATACTGTTAATCACACTCAACTTTTCTTTGCACAACCAAGACAGATAATGTTCTGTCGTACAATAATAGACTCGCCGAATTATACGTCTTGTATAATTGTCTCCCCAGGAGCAGTTGAATTAGTAAACATAGGTAGATGTAACGAGGTCAAACAACCTGTCTTCAGTGGTTTCGATTATCTGACGATTGTATTCCATTTGAGTGTAGTAAATTTTTTCTGAAAACCTTTTCTTAACCTTTTTATTATTATTTCATTGGTAGTGTGATTTTGGAATGATAACGTCAATTAAAGTAACCTTCTTCGGAACATTTGTTAGGTTGGATCTTATATTCATTTTGTTCATATGTCTGTTGAATGAAGTTGAATATTTATTCCTTCTACATGAAATGAATTAATCTAACTTGACGAAAATAGTTCCGTTCACTTTGATGAAAATAATCAAACTAATACATCGCAATAAATGAATTATCAATGACTGAACATTTCGATGTCACAAGTGGGTGACTTTAGCAAAATCAATCTTTTACGCTTAGCCGCTTAAATAGTGCATATCTTTGACACAAACTTGTTGTTCGTAGTTTACATTACGAACTGATCATAGTTAGATAACTAGGAAGTATTGTCATTAATAAGAACAAACCATGGTGGTGAAATATCGCAAACGGATCCAAGTTAAAATTATAGACTATTGGATGCCAAGTTGATGATCCATAGACTAAACACTTTGAATGGAACCTGAACGTCGTGAATTTTATCCCTAGCAATAAAAAAGATGCATTATGCTGGAGAACCCCATACCGGTTACTGGTTTTCATTGGTTATCTAACTAAGGTCAGTTTATAGTGTAAACTATGAAATGTAACAATCACCTTAGCACTGGTGAACAAACTTGTTTTTAGAAAAAATTACCACAGAATCAATATTATTGCACATTCTTGACTAACACATATTCTGTTCAGAGGACTTTGAAAAGAAACTGTGAACACTTGATAAAACGACAAAATTTGTTTATTCAAGAGTCTATAGTGAATTGAAATTACACTGTTTAAGTGAAAATAGTTGACAATTTTCTTCGATTTAAAGACTTTATTTATTTACTGTTATGATCATACTTGATACATTTGATGGGTATATTTTATAGAGTATGTATCCATCTTGCTGACAAGTTGTACTTATATATTCACCAACATTGGACATCAAAATGCCAAAACTGTAACTAATCAGTTTGATGATTATGAATTTATCACAGAAGGCTGATATGACTGCTTAAAAGAACCGGCTTTCATAACCGTAGAAAGTATGTTTCTCTCAAGAATAATGAGTGTGATGCCCTCTTACAGTTAGACACAGCTTCCGATATAACACTTATAAGCAGTAATTTAAACAAAACAGTAACAGTCATAGATGATCCGCCCGATGGTCCAGTAATGTCCATTTCAGAGACATGCCCTGTATTGGGTTCAAATCCCATTATTCCTGAAACATAATGTACAAGCAGTGATGTTCCCAGCTCACAGAAAGACGGTGTCTTGTTAAGTGCTCATGAAATTATTGCAGTACCCACGCACGATGAAAGAGAAAATAAATCGATCAGCATAATGAATGCAGTTGCCCCAAATGGGATTCATCATTCTGCGACAAAAGTTTCTGATGAATCTACCTATCACGATTCTCTAGTCGTTTAGCTAGATACGGGTTCTTTTAATGATTTATATATTTTTGACGTAATTTCTTACGAAAATGAGAAAAATTTGTCATATTAATCAAACGATTGTCAAAAACCTAATGCAATTTTGGTAGATACTGATTTCCCTGGTGATCCATTATCTACTAATGAGATTCTCAATAAATTTCATGGGAATGTTGCAGAAGGATCAGACCCTGAAGACCTCATATCAAATGTCGTTTATCCTCGCCATCTAGTCATTTTTATCAGATTCTCTATTCAATGCGAGAAATGTCTTAAATAAAGTCACATTAATCGTAACTTGGGAATGTGAGGATCCAACATTAATTCGTGGAGGAGGATAAACTCAGAAAATTTGAAGTCAGGATCTAAACTTCAGAAAAATAGTAGAGGGTGGTATGATGGAATGAAAAGTCAAAATTATATTCTTTCACTCATCATGATTTTTATTCAACATTGCTTCCGTTTCAATTCAATGTAATAACTACTCAGTGTAGTATTCTGTTTTGTTTTCCCGTATGATATTTTATTCTGTATAACATACGATATTCTTGTATTAAAAATTGACATGACCTAGGCTAAGCATGACATACAGCATATGATTTGTTATAACTCCAATTAATTTTCGTATGTGGTGTCATCCTAATCCTATGGGCGTACGAATCAGTATAGAAATGGATGTATTTTTGGCTAGAGTAGTCTTCGTCATGTTTTGGGGCTAATAAATCTGGATTTGTACCAGTCTTCGTGTTCCTGCCTCCGCGTCGTGGGTACAGCGGTGGTTCCTCGCTTCCACAAGTATAAGTGATAAGTGATTCCGACATAATAACCAGAGACGACCAGATATAACAATTAGCGTTCAATTAAAAGACGTATCAGTGGTGACAGGGAGAAAGCCATAATGAATATATCTTTGGAGCAACTAGAAATTTATATGGAACGTCAAGAGAAGCGGTTTGAACAGTCTTTAATCAGAATCATGGAAGCCCTTATGCAGAAAATGTGCCTGTCCCAGCAATACTCCGCTTCCGGTGAATTTCAAGTATCGCATACTGATTTAGTCGTTAATACGATCCATAAATTTAATTTTCATGGTGTAGCAAGCGTTACTTTTGATTCTTGGTCCAAGAAATATGAAGATTTGTTCCATATTCATCTCTGCAGATTTGACGACGCCTCAAAAATCAAAATACTTTGAAGTGAACTTGGGACGATGGAACATGAACGCTACAACAACTTTATTATTCCAAAGAACACACGGGACTTCAGTTTTGCCCCCAAATGCCCCAGTACGTCCGAGAGCGGAGAGAGTCAGCTCTCCCAGTCGAAATGCTCTCACATGACCATATGCATACAACCACTGTCAGGGAAGTCATACTCACTGCTTTCTCGTGATGGGGATGTTGTTTACGAAGTTGAAAGGACGAAAAGCGAATGTCCAACGCTTTAACCGGGTCGGTGGATACGGAGGATCCACCTAGGGGAGTTGGAAAACCCTGATTCCAAACCAATGGTGTATATGGGCTCTAGTATCCTAAACAAACAAATGGCGCATGAACCAATAGTTGGTCACCGGCTACCATGAGACTGCATCTCCTTACGTTGCTCCACTTCCTTGTGGACTAGGCCTTCAAGTCGAAGGCTCGGGGTGTGGTCCCCTAAGTAAACCACCTCCTTCGGTTTGGGCAAGCGGGCAGTATTCCAGCCCTCATATATATATCTGGTGCCTCTTTGTACCAATGTTTATGTGTTTAAATAAATAAATAAATAAATTTGACGAAACAATTAAAACGCTGTTTTAAATCATTGGAGAACAGTCATCTCAATGTAATATCCGTTACCAATACTTGAAGATAACGAAAGAACCAGGAGACGACTGGGTGACATATACAGGAATTATGAATCGAGAATATGAGAGTTTTAAAAATCATCGTTATACTACATTTTCCAGAAAAAGAGCACAAAGAAAGTCACTTTAAAAGAAACTCCGAAAACTCTATCAACCGAAAGTGTATTCTAAAAGATTCAACCTGCGAACAACCAAAGTAACGACAGTTCCTAACAAAGGCAAAAAGTTATTTTATCATGATCTCACAGATTGAAATCATGAGTCAATTGAAGCTAGACCACCATGGAAAACCTGGAAGCACTGGACGGCCGTTTCTTCCTAGTATGGGACTTCTCAGCAGTGTGCATCCACGATCCCGCATCGCGCGAGATTCAAACCCAGGATTCATGATTTCAATCTGTGAAATTTCTAAAATCACAAACTCCTTCTGATAATTATGATGATTTGTTTAAACATTTAAAAAAAAGAAAATAGTTCTCTTATTGTTATCATACACTTTATTATGATCTACATGTACTTTAAATGAAACGAGTACATTTATGTTTGTAGAAAACAAGTGAGAGAGAGAGAGAGAAGAAAATATCTAAATAACTCATTACTTAATTATGCACTCAAATGATTTGGTTATAATTTCTTCAATAATAACGTAATATCATGCACTTATTTAGATTTACTCTTTATAAAGAAAAAACTATATAAAACGTTGATCAAGGTATCAATGAACTAAAAAGAAAATCTTCAATTACGTAACACTAAACATCATAACAGAACAAAAATTTTTTTTAAAAAAAAACCCCAGAAACAACAACAATGAAAAGTGTTATCTCATTATATTTACTACTAATGTTCTCATATACAATAAGCGGTGATTCAATGAATTCATATTCATATGATAATTATAATCCATCATATACTGATAATAGAAATTATCAAAATAATTATAATGATTATAATTACAATAATAATAATGGTGGTGATAAAAATCATGGTAATGATAATCATGGTAATATACATACACATGGTAAATTTATAGCATATGGTAATGCAGATAAAGGTTTAAAATATCATCAAATTACATATTTTCATAAAGGTAGTAAATATCAAAAGAAATTTGTTAATTATGATACAAAAGGTAAAGTACATTCATATGGGAAACAAAATGTTAAAGCTAAATTTAATATTGAAAGTAATATACATTCTAAAGGAAAATATAATGGTGGTAAATTTGATCAACTTGTTGGTACTGGTAGTGGACAATATAATGAAGGACAAATACCAATTGAATATGCTGCAGCTGGATCTAATCCAACATATAATAATGCTCCATCAACTTATGATGATAATAGTAATAGTAATAGTAATGACAATAATAATAATAAGTATAATTATAATGATCAAAATAGTGGAGGATCATCAGATGATAATACATATTCTAGTGGAACATACAATGATAATTATCAACCGTCATATTAATAATAAATATTCAATTTGTTTATTAATAAGTAATAAATTATTGGAAAAAGTCTAATACAAGTTTGTAAAAAAGGAACACATAATAATGAAAATAAACTTTTTTTTTAAAGAACAATTTGGTTGTTTGTTTTTTTCCTCTGATAATTATCACGTACTCAGTAGTGATTAGATTCGAGAAGAAATGAGAAATCAGGTGAAATTCAATTATGTAGGATGTAAGAAAGGTATTTACTGAAGACAATGGAAGATGGCATTAAAATATCGTAAATTGATTAAACTTTGACTTTTACATTAATAGATCCCGGTTTAGTGATTTGAAGACTTGACATTTCCATGAGAGGTTGAACAATTTGAGTTCAGTTCCTAACATCAATAGTCTTGTTATGAACGTGATAATAACGATAAAGACCGAATTCATTGTGATTATTAGTTTTATAGTATCTATCATGCATATTTAATAATTATGATAAGAATTCAGTGATAAGAAGTTGTCAAACGGTAATCTTTACTCGAAACCAAAAATAAATTAGAATTAGTTACACAGGAATTTTGTAGAGATTGTTGACTTTTGTAGTTCATATCACTCACTGATCCTGAGTAGCGAATAAGTGAAACTCAAGAAGTATTAGATTCCCATTTTTCTTCCTAAAATAGAGCTAATAAACAGCTTTATACACAGTCACAACCGGAGTTCAAACCTAAGACATTTGAATTCGATTGAAAATGTTTAACCTATAGATCACTAAGTTATCATGTAATAGTTTGCGATATTTGATAACTACCATCAAATTTCATCGGTGGATAACTAGTAAATTATGATCGGTTGTAAGGCAGCTTATCTTTTAGTTGAGGGATCACCATAGATCGGTCGAGTACGATAAACAGAGGTTGGCTGCATTAAACGTTCTCTTCACTACTCTAGTCAGTCTATCACGTAGTATATCACCAGCTACATCTCCATTGAATCGCAGCTTCAGGAAGAGATGTTTCTTACTAACTGTTGTTACACCATCTATTTGTCTGAAGTGTTCACCTTCAAATGTGAATTTTACATTATCTGTACATAATAATAATAAATCTTTAAGAGTTTTAACCTTCCACTGCCTTTTCCTGTTAAAACTCTTAAAGATTTATTGTTATTATGTACAGATAATGTAAAATTCACATTTGAAGGTGAACACTTCAGACAAATTGATGGTGTAGCTATGGGCCATTGCTGGCTGATGTGTTCATGGGATATGTGGAAAATTTAGTTGGAGACTCAATTCGAAAGATGGGTCTGTATAAACGATATGTAGATGACATAATAATCATAGGTGATAAAATTGAAGACATAAGCCGCTTGTTAGAAGAATTCAATAGTAGTCAAAACCACATTTCTCTTACATGTGAAGAAGAGAAGAACAACCAACTTCCTTTTCTTGACATCCTGATTACTAGGAGAGATGATGGTTCCATCAAACGTGCCACATATAGAAAACCAACATGGACAGGACAATATCTGAATTTACATAGTCACTGCCCTATTCATTATAAACGCGGTTTAGCAAAGAGCTTATTCAATAGAATCAATCGTATTTGTACTAGTGATACTATTGAAGTAGAAATGAAGCTCTTGACGGATGCGTTAATCAATAATGGTTACCCTTTGAAGTTCATAAACCGCTAGAAGGGTTGCAATATGACTGGACCTATGACGCTTCTGGCAACCAAAAAGCGAGTTTATATTACGCTACCATTCAGAGGTGACACAAATAGTCTCATGCTGAAACAGAGACTTAAATTTGCTATCAACCGGACATTTTATGCAGCCCAACTTGTCATTATCGAAAAGACAAGGTCTATGTTTCACCAAAAGCCCAAACAGCATGAAAACGATTGTGTCACATCCCATTGCGTCTATAAATTTACATGTATGTGTGGAAACACGTACATAGGGAGGAGCAATCGTGATTTGCAATTAAGGGTGGGTGAACATATACCAAAATGGTTGCAGAATCAGATGAATTCCAATGGTGAAATAAGATCACAGGATAGACAGACATCATCATCCATTGCGAAACATTTGATTGAGACGAGTCATAAAGTTGATATCAAATCAGCATTTGTTGTTTTGTACAAAAGCCTTCAAGGACGTATACTAAGGTTTATTGAAGCCTTGGTTATACGAAAATTGAAACCCCCTTTATGTGCTCAAAAACAATTTGTACTTACACTTAACCTACACTGGTAGTACTGATTTACTATCCAGAGTGGTAATCACATTTGTTTTTGTGTACTTTAATACTTTTCCTTTGTTATGACTTACCCTTAACCCGTCTAGTTGACCTTTTAATTTTTCATATATAAATGTTCTTAACAAGTATATGTGTGATCAGATTGTTCGAAATGTATTGCTCCTTACTATGTCAATGAAATACGATTGATGAAATTCAATTTAGTTTAAAGTATATCTTTTCAGAAACTTGACATTAGTTTCGACTTAGTATCGACGAAGAGATTTGAATTATTGTTTAGGTTAAGGTGACTCATGGTGAAGTTATGGATAAAATACACAATAAGGTCGAAGAAAGAATAGTATATTCTTTTGAAAAAATCTCAGTTTGAGGTTGTGAAGATTGTTGAATTCCACTGGAATTATGAACCGATAAATATTAGACCACGATCGGGAACCTGAGAGCACTGGATGGCCATTTCGTTCTAGTACAGTTCTCCTCACTAGTGCTCAATAAGATCTCGTATTCACCATTCAAACACAGAAAATTCAGTCCCATATGCGAACTCTTAACATTTAGACCACTGAGCCATCATTCAACGGTGTTAATGTTTGACTTCAACCAATCCACGAAACTGCACAACATTCTTCCATTGTCTTCGATGAGTAACTGCCTCACACCCAACACGGATTGAACTCCACTGGTCACGGCTTCTCACTAGAACTCCGAAAATTTTCTCATAAATCGACTCACCAGTCAGCACATAATAATTATCAATATATGCTTATGGAGGAGCCGTAATCAATGGAGTACAACCGTGTCGGGTGTGAAGCACATACTCACCCAAGACAATAAAAGACTGTCGTTCAACATCGTTGATTGCTTGAACTTTTGAAAAATGAAACGATAACCTCTTATTGCATAATCACTCATGTTTACGGTCGTTTGTCCTGTTTTATTCATTCATAATATTATTTTCAAATCAATAAATCTGATGCAAACCTTTATGTAATAAAAATAACAAGATCAAATTTGTACACTCATCTCTGAACCATACTTCAGGTGTGATAGGTAATGGTAAATCTTTATTCCTCAAACTAAAAATGTTTCGAATCTTTAACGAATTGTCCACAGACCATCCTCTTAATATAATAATCACACCGTCTTATTACACATCAAATGTAAAAACTATCTGTTGATTTACAATAAATGATGATGAGTCGAAAAACAATATTAACCTTCAGTTTTAATAAATTAATAAATTTTAAGCGTAACCAGAAAATGAAACTTTTAGGTAACATAAAAATACATATTGAAGTGTTATCTTAAAATAGGATAAAGATAATGCATAACAACAAAATAGACTATTACTATCACAAATGAAACTTTCAAGGATCTACATAATTTGCAATAACAATGTATAATATTGATTTATTTAATTAAGTGGAATATCTCTGTATCATCTTTCACACTGATTTCAGTCAGTCAGTAACAACGTAGAACTTCGTACGTCAGTTCGAGTTGCCACACCACATTAGCACAGAGATGCAGTTGTCGATTCAAATCCTGTAATGGTTGAGGCGGTAAGAGTATAAGCAGTAATCGGGAAGATTAGGGTTTGAAGATGTTATTTAAAGAGTATAATCCAGCGAAATAAATTTGGAAAGCGAAAAAAGAGACAAGGAGGATTCAGGAGATTAGAATTTGGAAGAACACAAAGAGTGTATGCACCTGCGCCATTGCAAACGATTTTGAGCCATGTCATTCAGGGTCTCTAACCATCGGTTGCTATCATCCCACTGATAAACAATTACGAAGAAAAATAATATATTATATGCTTTATGGATAATAAAAAGATGAATATCAGTAACTTATTACGTAACCTTAAATACGGATACATAATCTTATGATATTATATTATTAATATATCCCCTTAGAGAAAAATAAATAATGTTGTTATATACGAAGTTCTATATCAAAAGCTAAATTCATCATTATCAGGTTTCACAGTAGTACGTTGTGATGGATTTTCTTTTCTGTCCTTATAGTATTCGCCATTGTTGTCCGAATGCTCATCATAATGATTTGGTTTCACTCGGTAATATTGATATTCATAATCTGTATATGGTTTGTGATTATTCCAATGATTTAATACATAGTCCTGATATCTGAACGTATCTCTTTCGTGTTTTTGATAAGCATGATAATCAGGTGCCTGTGTTTGATGATTATTATGATATGAAGTTCGATGATTATCATGATCTTCAACGTTGTAATTATTGTAATAATCAAGATTGTTATAATCATCAGGATATTTATCATCATAATTATTTCCTTCATTAGTTTCATAGTGATCATGGGGATTTGGAGGGTATCTATAGTCAGAATGTTCGTCATGTCCTCTTTGTTCTTTATTGTCATCATATTCATGGTGTGAATAATCTTCATAATTATAATCATAGTTGTTATAACCATCATTTGAATAGTGATTATATTCATTCCCGTCATTATAATCATCATACGGTGAATATTTATTATAACCTTCATAATTTCCATGTGAATAATCATCATTATATCTATCCGAACTTGGATAAAATTCTTTATAGAAATAATCTTTTTCATTACTAGAAATTAATGTTACCAATGTGGAAAAATATAAAAACCAAATAAATTTCATCATTTTACTGTATCCAAGCCCAAATCTTATTTACTTAGTAAATTGATAAAGTTAATAGTTGTAATATTAATAATAATAATAAACAATAATAATAATAATGAACTCAATAGACTATTTAAAGTTCAACTGTTTTATTTCATTTGTATTATGCAATGATATATTCGTAAATAAATAAGTTGAATCTACGTAACAATTACATTTCATTGCACTGAGATTTGAGTAAATTACATATTTCATAATTGAAATCAATATGATTTACTTAAATAAAATATACATGTGAATTAATAATATAAAGTACTGAGCTTATTTCAATAGTTGAGGTCATGAGTTAGTTGAAGCTAGACCACTATGGAAAACCTGGAAACACTGGATGGCCGTTTCGTCCTATTGTAGGACTCTTCAGCAGTGCGCACTCATGACCCCACCTCGCGGGATTCGAACCCAGGACCTACCGGTTTCGCGAGTGAGCGCTTAACCAATTAGACCAAGTTCGGATAGATACGATGATTATTATTCACATGGAAATTATGAAGGTTATGATGAATACTTGCCGTATAATGATTATAATAACGGGAATGAATAGGACGAAACGGCCATTCAGTGCTTTCAGGTTTTCCATGGTGGTCTAGTTTCAATTGACTCATGATCTCAACTATTGAAATTAATACAATCTCCACAAAACCCATTCTGATATTAAGCTTATATTATTAATTATTTCTTATTAAATTTTAAAAAGTCATGATTATATTAATAATAAATCTATTGATGTAGATAAAAAGACTTCCTAGTTGGGCACCAACAAATAGTACAGGTGAATCACAAGTTGTCTAACTGGGAAACTGTGATTATTAGTGGAGTGCTCCAGGGTATAGTTTTGGGGCCAATGTCATTTTTCTTGTTTGTAAATTATATTCCTCGTCTAATATCATCATTGGTCTTGCTATATGCTGACGATGTTAAGAAATGGAGAGGGATACGAAGTAAGAATGATAGCTTAGAACTTCAAAATGATCTGGAGAAATTATTTGAATGGTTTCAAACTTGGCAGTTGCCGATAAATACTTCCAAGTGTTGTGATGCATATCGGTCATCAAGGTACAGATATATACATGATGAATAACACTGAGCTAAGTATTGTCCAGACACACAATAACTAAGGGGTCATCGTTAACCAAGACTTAAAGACTGCTGCACAATGCCGTGCAATAGCCACCAAAGGTTTTAGAACTTTATGGTCAATACGTAGGACTTTTAGTCATGTCGACGCTAAAACTTTTTAAAACTCTATATACAGTTTTCATGCTTAAATAATGACAGTGAGCTTATGGAAAAAGTTCAGAGAACAGAAACTAAGCTGATTCCCGGCATAGCGAAGCTTCCGTATGATGCTCGACTGGCCAAACTAAACCTGTTCCCGTTGTCATATCAGAGAACTAGAGGCGATGTGATAACAGTTTTCAAATTGCTTAGTGATAAATTTTCACCTGATATACCCTCATTTTTCTTGTCTTCCAAAACAGAGAATTTACGAGGACATTCAAAAAACGTTCACAAGCCCGGAACAAATTACTTGTCTTCTGACTATCGACTTTCCCATCAAATCATCAACGAGTTGGATTCATTACTTCAGCACGTGGTTGAGGCTCCATCTGTCGACTCTTTCAAAAAAAGTCGGATCAACTGAGAGATGATTTTTGCCAGGACTAACACAGGCAATCAAGCCTTCTGTCCTTTCCAACCTGAAACTAAAACATATTATGGGTTTTTTCATACTATTGTTTCAGTTATATATTCTTCCAATGAGTTGTACATCCAATAGAGTAATAATCATGGACTTTACAGCAAATCACTCGTAACTAAAATCAAGTCTCCCTTGAATACTAATGTTATTTAAGTGGCACTATTTTATGCGTAATTTGTGATATTATACTTCAAAAAGCGACCGAAGAAAATGAGCATCTGCTTCCTATGCGAACGTGAAATTGTAGTGAAAACGAACACAGGTGAGTACAGATATTTGGTAAAATAGAAAAACCATACACTTATACTCCATTTGCAAAATGTTCAATAATTGTCTCACACTTCATTGTTCTTGCATTTCCATACGAAATGTTTTCTGTTTCCGTCCTTCCCTCTTCGATCTTCTCAACCTTCTGCTGCCAGATATTTTATTCCTGACTAGCGTTATATACTACTTCTGTCGACATAAGTAGCACATACCATAAAATTATTGTTTTGAACAAACCTTTAACAATGATTCTGAAACAAAGCATCCATTCTTCTTACATTTGTTAAATTGATTATGATATTTTGTAAAAGTACCAAACAAACTTAGTCAATGTTAACTAAGCGCAAATTACAGATTAGAATGTAAGTTAAAACACCTATGAAATTCACAAAACTGCGCCTCACAATTGTCGTCGATTGAATGTAGAATTGAGCCAATTCATCCAGGAACTTTTCGTTAGATAGCAAATCTACTTAATAACATCCATTCAGTACATAAGATGGTGCTGAATTTTGACGAAATTTAACATTAAGTTACATTAATATGAATGTTTCATACAACTTTATAACCACTGTTATAGGATCCAAGAATAATTTTTTTCATTTAAACAAGCTTTTGAAGTTTTAAACTAACCCACTGAGTCATTGAATAAGAATAAAAAGAAGTCAACGAGATCATTTACTTACGCTGTATATTCATATTTATAGTTATATGGAAAATATATGTCTATAGAAGGATAGAGACGATTGCATCATAAATTGATGCGAGACTTCATATAGCTATAAATACGAATGTACAGCTTAAATAAATGATTTCGTCAGAAAGAAAATTTTCTTCGCTTAATTCTCTTTATTCTAAAGTTTGAATTTATTTCATACTCAACACTTAAAGTTTATGAACTAGGTCAAATGTTTATACTATTTAACTTGAATGAGAAGCCGCGACCATTGGAGTTCAATCCGTGTAGGGTGTGAGGCAGTGACTCACCGAAGACAATGGAAGATGGTTGTACAATATCGTGTATTGGTTGAAGTCAAACATTAACAGCGCTGGATTATAGCTCAGTGGTCTAAATGTTAAGAATTCTCATGTGAGAGTGAATTTTCTGTGTTTGAATGGTGAGTGCGGGATCGTATTGAGTACAGGTGAAGAGAACATTACTAAGACGAAATGGCCATCCAGTGCTCTTAGGTTCTCAATTAGTGGTCTAACATTGATCGACTCATGATCTCAATACAAACTCAACAATCCCCACAACCCCAACTTTATCTAATATTCTAAATTAAAATACAAAACTCAACAGAATGATTGTCATGATGGAATTCAGCAATGAAAATACTACAATTCTCATACTGATAATTGCAAGAATATATTTGTAAATGTATACGGTTGACCTTTTAAAAAAATACACTCATCAGTTAGTTAGTAGTAGTTACTTCTCATAAAGTCTTGTTATTACCAATCAAATGATAATTCTAGTTTGTTTACTAAAGTGCATACCATTTGAAAAAGTTTCACATATATCTGTCTATCGCTGTAATTAAATTAAACGCCGAATATATTTTATTCAGTGTTCAATATTCGATAATAAAAAAAGAGATAGTTTACTGTTTGTTGACCTAATAAGATGTTTATTCCTATTGTAGAGGCAATCAGCTGTAATCAGAATAATTGAGGAATGAAAATATAAGATGAATATTTAGGTGATAAAATGGTTTACATACTTACGTTTGTTACCCCTCATGTAGGAGCATAGACCGCCTACCAACATTCCCTATCGAACTCTATCCTGAGTAGATAAAATCGTTTGTATAGTTTAAAAGTAATAACTTTTAGATTACAAGTATGATTATAAATTAATAATACGCTTGTATAAAAAATGTAGTTAGAATGACATAACTGCGAAATATTTTCAATAGAACATTGAGTAATTATATTTAAGTGTTAAGGTTCAACAAGTTAACTGCTTCATATTGAAGTATGTAATGAACATTTTAATCCTTAATCTAGAATATGAATTAACTTTTCAAATAATCTAAGTTTTTCAGAATAAAATATCAGAGATTTCATGTTTGTATTCTTTTAAAATAGTGTCACTCTTGTCATAATGAATAGAATAGCCGGATATCATATTTTGGGTATATTTTCATTAAAGTATATATGTCTCTATAATTATTCTCAAGTCTTATCTTCAGCCACTTCCTAATAAATTACAATATGGATGCTTCAATCAGGTTGCTTCATTCAATCTCATTGAAACGAATGACTTAAATCTGAAAAAATTTCCGATATGGAGATTTGATTATCACATGATCATATGTATATATGTATATATATATAACAGCATATGCTATTCACTGATTTCACCCTCATAAATTAACACCTCATCAGAAGAAACATTCGGAAAATGAATATTTTACATTTTTATCTGCTAGGATTTGTTTTATATGTATCCAGTTATAGATTTGTTTACAACATAACACATATATTCATATCTTTTGGAAATGATTCTTATAATACATCTGAGAATTTAGATGGGGAACAATTGTTTAAACATTTTAATACGTCGTTTCTAAATTCTTTGCTAAAAGACCAGAATACAAACTCTTCATTAGATGTTGAACTAAAAATCAAGACAGAAAATAGAACAATTAATTTACATTCAAATGAAACGGATTTTAATACTGAAAAAATAAAGTTTCCAAATAACACATGGCCTCAATTGAATTTTTCCAGTTTTCCATTCATGATGAACGAATCTGATGATCAACAACATGAGAGAAGTGTTGAACTTAAAAGTCGACAGTTGGAAACAAAACTCAAAGAAGTAGCTAATATGAGTGATCACATCGAAAAATCTCTTTTTGCATCAAATATAACTACTAACTGGTTATTTATATGATATAACACATATTGAAATAATCATGAAAGCTTCTTCACTATTATGGTCATCAAGAGGAGAAATGTAATGCTGTACAATAATTATAGTCATTTATCAAAAATGAATAGAAACCTTTTAGATCTAAATAATTGCTTTTTATATCGGCTTCTAATATTGGAATACTGAAACTAAGTTAAGCGAATTGTATATACAAGACATGAGACCTGATTTGAGTTAAACTGCTGATAATTACCAATTTATAACAAGACTACCATCCATTTACTCAATAATTAGTCTTAACAATGTCACTTTTATTAGTGAAATAAGTGCAGTAATCCACAGTTTCTACTAGTCCATTGTTATTTAGAATAATTTTTGACTGACTCTAGACTGATGTCTGGTAGTTGAATTCCAATTTCGGGCTTATTGAAGTTCCTTAAGAAAAACAATTTTTCACAAATATAAGTTGACTTAAGATGACAAACGCTTTGCTGGTAAAATGTTTCTTATTAAGAAAATAGTATCCTGTCGAATTAACAAATAGAATTTGGACGATGTAGTTTCGTTGAAGTGTTTATTTATGCCGTAATTAGCTTGTATGAAAATTGATCAGCCAACAAACACTAGGAATGTTGAGGCTGGACATAAGGTACTTGGTGGAAAATCAGTTTATAAGGTTTCAAATATTTATTGATGTCTTGGAAGTACAGCTCTTAAACATTTGGGGACCATCGAGTTAGCAATTCTGACGTTAGATACAGAGTGATAGGTAATTAACGTAACTAAATTGATAAGTGATGGATTTTTATCGACCGTTATGGTTAGAACATATATTACATATGCCCACCCACTAAACACCTAGACGTATGATAATAGCTGAGTAGGTTGGGAGGAAGCTAGCAGGAAGTAATCGAAATGTGGAGTCAGTTCACCAAATAGTCGGCTGATAGTTTGAGCCATCTTGATAAATACAGATTACGTGGCTGTGCTCTGTGTGATAGTCACTGTCATTGGTTGAAAATCTTATGTGATTCACTCAATATAGCGCTGATGCATTCCTAATCTTAAATCCCAGTACCTCTTCATACAGACTGTAGATCACCAACATTTGAACCCCGTCTTTTATATCGTATTCCACGGTTTGATCTTTCTTTTTATCTTTGTTTCTACATCGTTTCAATCTATTTTTTAGTTTCATCTTTTCGTGCTTATCTAATATGGTAACTTGGGCCAACAAATAAGCACTTATGATTTCTTACAGTCTATCAGTCAACGATCCTAATTATAAAACTTTTTCATAAAATTCAATAATACTCAATAGACTATTTAAAGTTCAACTCTTTTATTTCATTTGTATTATGCAATGATATATTCGTAAATAAATAAGTTGAATCTACGTAACAATTACATTTCATTGCACTGAGATTTGAATAAATTACATATTTCATAGTTGAAATCAATATGATTTATTTAAACAAATTACACAATTGAATAGCAGCTTAATCTGTGAATGTAGTTCTGCCTATTTTACAGTTTAATCGGTTACATTCTTTAGATAGACAATATAGAAACTACTTGACTATAATTATCTACGTTTACATAATTTTACTTGTCAATTGTATTAAGAGAATTATTAATTAATTGGACTCTGATCGTATCTTGTTTTAAAATATTAAAATACTACTGTTATTATTTAGTAGAAGTTTTAAGAACCAGATTTACGTCGAAAAGTATCTTATTATTGCGTTGTCCGATGATACATTACTGTATTGAAATTTTATAAGCATAAATGCATTCAGTTAAAAATGCGGCAATGAATGGGATCTGACAATATGTTCATATACATATGAAGTTCTTGACTACAATTCCAAATAGTTTAAGTTCTTCTTGTGAATTTTAAAATTGGGCAATGATCTGTAAGTATGTTTGATTACATATTAGATATATGTAATGGTATTAAGAAATTAAAACTGATAATAAAGGTTCCTTTTGTATTGCTTGTTTGAATATTCTCATTTATGTTTAGGACTTCAGTTGACCAGTCTCTTAATGATATATATACATCCTGTACAGATTTCCTCGATATCGCCTCGAGTCAAAAACATTCTAAGCAAAGATGAATGGTAGCTATTAGTGGAATCCAGGACTCAAGTTTTGTTAAGTTTGGGACTCGTCAGCTTGGCGTGTCTGAACCCCGGAGTTGATGTCCAGTCTGGGACTCGAACCTAGTACCGTTCTCTTGAAACGCCATCACGTTATCTTAAGTAACTTGTGAAATAGGGTGAGGTTTAATTCATATTTCATTGTTCGTTTAAGTCTTCCCATTCATATTTAGGATTGCAGTTGATCATCCAGCTGACGAGTCTCAAACAAAACGTAACGTGCGTCCTGAATTCCACTTCTATCCATCACTCATCTTTGCTGATATCAACAGTGTTAACTACAACTATGAATACACTGACTTGATTTACCATCAAAATTTTAGATAATTGTATCATCCTCATTTTAAATGTCTCAGAGCTAAATATTGTAATGTACATTTTACTTAAATATTTAATTTGTTCTGAATTTGGGAATTCTATCGATGATTATTTATGAATTAACAAAGAAGTGATACTTCATGTTAATACTATACGTTAGCAAGAAAACTGAGATTTCTCGGAACTTTTTATAACGTTCATGTAAAAGGATGTGCTACTTGTCTAAATGTATTTATTTTGCTACTAGGCTTGATTATTTTTCTTTGAATCCCCCAATAAGCTGATTGCCTTGACATTACTGACTGGTGGTATCAAATTTGGAAGAACAAAAATGTTTCTATATTTTCAATCCTCAACCATCTGGTACCATACCATAACAAAAACTGTCTACAAAACCTTTCTGACCTCTTCAGACTACTTCTTACATCTTTGGTCAACATTACAATGTCCCTCAAATTTACCGGCTACCCGAGATGACATAACAAGTAACACAGTTTTCAGTAATTTTAGTACACTTTTATCAGTTATTCTGTTCACATCTTCATAAAAAATATGGGCTCTTATTTTCAATAAATGAATAACAATGTAACATCATCTCAACCTTTAACGTCTCTTGATGATGACGTCATCGGCATTGTCGTTGTTGTCAATGTTTGGTTTTCCTTTCACTCTGCTTTTCCACTAGGACTATGAGTTGTATAATTTGTTTCATTGGTTTGTTGTCTTTCTAACTCATACTGTTCATGCCAGATTTCGTCCCGATCCCTCCCTGAATAATAATCACTGTCATAATATCTATCGTTTTCATTTTTTTCATCAAATATATCATTTCCATCACTCACATTAGATTCATCATTAAAATCATAATTATACCATCCATTATCATCTGAATATATTTCACGACTTTTATTATCAAAATAATAGTCATTCGTTACATTTACTTCGTTGAATGGATCTTTTGTATCTTCGTATGAGAAGTATGACTTTCCAGAAAATGCATCAAATTCTTGAGGAAATGTTGCATTATTGTAATCATCAGTAGAATTAGAAGAATCATCTCCATAGGAATCGTATACAACACTTGATTTACTTTCAATAACTGTACGACGGGATAAATAAAAACTGATTTTTAATAAGATAATTATGCATTCAAAAATTATTTTGATTTTTATCTTCAACATGTTCATTTAATGCAATAAGACTCATTCAAAATGTAAATACTTTTTTTTGTTGTTGGAAAAATTGCATTGTTCATATTGATCTTTATATTTATGTTTAGTGCGAAATACTGTCATATGATTGTGAAAGTCCATAAAAGAGGAACTTTTTAAGCCATAAATCAATAAAATTAGATCAAATACTTTAAATTATGTTGAATTTTTATAAGCGAAGATGGATAGTGACTAGCAGTAGAATCTAAGACTTTCGTTTCGTTCCATTCGGAACTCGTCAGCTGAATGTACCTGTATTTCAGAGTTCATATTCACTCTAAGACTGGAACCCAGTGCTGTTCGCTTCAAACGCCATCGTGTTATCCACTTAGCTACTAAGTCCTGAATTTTATATATAGTCTGATTAAATATGATCATTCATTAACAACATTGTGATTGTAATCCAATTGTTTTAAATTTACCTTCAGTGCCATTCAAAGATTTTTACTTAATATCTTGAATTAATCAAAGTCAAAAGTTTAAGCCAGTAGATAGAAACTCAGTGGTGTAAAAGATAAGCGCTCACAGAGAGTCTTGAAGATACTGGATTCAATTTAAGGTTATGAATTTGTATTGCTACGTAATCCAATAATTCGACAAAACAGCTATTTACTGCCTCATGATTTTCACTGGTTGTCTGACGAAAAATAGTCTTTGATGTGGAAATTGTAACTCAATTTTTTACCCATCATAAAATGTTTTGCCTGATTTTTAATCAAAACTAAATTTCTCATCTTTTTTTGAGTGAAAATAACTTACAAATATGATCGCGCTAGAATAATTAGTTTTTGAAACATTAGGATGTTTGATATTTCATTTACAAGGCATATTAATGTAAATGCCTACATATTATCTATTTACAGAAAATGAATTTGGAAAACTGTCACCTAAATTATTTCACTATATGGACATATTTAAATAGACAAATGGAATCTTATCGGCATGGGGATATGTGGAGTTTACAGCTAGACAACCATAAGAAACACAAAAGCACTAGGTGGCCGTTTTGTCCTTGTACGTAACTCCTCAGCAGTAGACACTCACGATCCCGCATGCCGGATACAAACCCAGGACCTCCGGTCTTGCTTGCGAACGCTTAACCTCAATACCAATAAACCGGTTGTTGAAGTAGTTTTGTGGGGATTGGTTTTCAAGTGCGAGACTGCGGAAGAGCATTGCTGAGAAATCCCATATAAGAACGGAACGGCCGTTTAGTGTTTTTATGTTTCTGATAGTTGTCTAGCTTAGATCGACTCATGAATTCAACTATGAAAATGGAATCTCGTTTACCACCTGTATTATCGTATATGCAGTATCATTGGTACTAATTGCAATAATAACAAATGTTTTCCCAGAAAACAATCTTGGACAAAGATTAGTAACCCTTGTAAGTTCATAAATGAAAACATTTTAAAAAACGTAGAATAAGAAAATTCTGAATTTGAAGTTGGTTTTTGATAAGGTGTAGATAATTAGGAAGTTCCATACAAGGACAGACTAACTGCCTAACTCATTCAGTTTCCAACAGTTTTCTAGTTAATATTACTTAGAGAAGAAAACTAATTTAAAGTTAAGACTGTTGTCAGAAACACACTTTGTTTATATAGGTGACCAAACGTTGGTCTATTTAAGAAACATCCTATTTTTTGCTTTTCTAAAAAACAGAGAAACTTCAAGTGATGTTTACGAATGAGAATCTTTTTTTCATTATGTGTGAAACGATAAGCATCGTCTAATTATTCGTATACAGATTTGAGCGTACACTTGGGTCTCTGGTGCAAGATAAATTAAGAGTAACTAGTTGTTTTTTGTGACATATAGGAGATAACATTTAAACGTACTTGTAGAACAGAGCAAAGAAAATCAGTTTTGTGTTTGAAACCTAGGACATTGACATAATGTAGATTACTAAAATAGACCATTTATTGGTTGTGATGTTGTCTGAGTTTGTCTAAATCTTTCAAAACTTTATCGTTTACAACTTTTTATAATATTAGAAGCTATGGCTATACACAGAATAAGACTCGAACCCTGTAAATGAACTGATTACATTCTATGACTTGATTTATCATTGTATTTACCAAAATCATTACATTTCTTAAACTTACATATCAAAATGTTTTTTTGATTCCATAGATAATTAAGTATATTCATTTGTTAATTTATTTCACTTATTTATTTACTATAAAGAAGTGGCTTACATTAAGTCATGGGAGACACAACCAAAACAAAGAAGTAAACAATGATAAATTTAAGGTCAATACGAACCAATCAACATCGAGGTGCACAGAACAAGCTGTGAAACACATATGGAGAAATTCGAACACTTCACTTCTATCTGAAGTTTGTGCTGATGATGTCGTTCAGAAGGACGATGAAAGCTCCACGACCAAACCATCCAGCTCAGAGAACAAAGCTCCACCAAAGTCACGAAACGTCAGAAATACAATTATTTTACTCATTAGGATATAACAAAAAATATACTTACTATTAACTTTCCATTCAATGCTCAACTTATTTGAAACCATCAAATCCAACTTTTTAAGCAAAGATGGATATTGGCTAGCAGTGAAATCCAGAACAAGCGTTTTGTCTCATTTGAGAATTGTCAGCTGGATGTATCTGCATCTCAGAGTTGATATTCACCCTGAGATTCGAACCCAATACCATTCGTTTTAAACGTCATCGCGTTTCAACTTTGAGATGCAGGCGCATCAAGTTGACGAGTCCCAAATGGGACGAAACGCGCGTTCTGAATTCCATGGCTAACCACTATTAATCTTTGGTGGTGATCAATCTGTCAAAACACCCACTAACTATTAATCTTTGCTTAAAAAGCTTGTGATTTAAGGCTATTTCGAGGCAATCCGCACAGGATGTACATATGCCAACAAGAGGCTGATCAATTGCCGTCCTATATAACCATGGGAAGATACAGGTAAGTAACATCAAGTGAATGTATCAAATCCAAACTTGGCATCGATTTCATTGATTGTCTTACAGTTAACTGTTACAACTATCATTTCACTTAATCCTTTGTATAAATTCATTTTTTGACAAAGTAGCAAACCTATTTTAATGATGAACATTACCCAACCTTGATTTGGATAATAAGATAAAAGTATTTTTTTTCGAACAATGTACTTCACATAATCTGATCAGATATTTATATGTAAAAGAAAAAATAAAGGTCAACCAGACAAATTGAATGACAACTGAAGTGAAGATATTTGGGAAAATTAGTATGAATTATAGCACTCTAAACAATAAATCACTATTATCAGGATAATTTTAGTACAAGTACAAACAAACAGAAGATAAAAAAAGAGAACTTGAAATTTGGTTGAATAAGACTTCAAAAAGCTTAGAGTGTTTTCTCATAACAACTTTTATGTAAAACAATAAAAATATTAAATGGAAATATTATGTTTATAATAGTCTAAACGATTGAAGTTTAACTAGTAGTGAGGTTAGATACAGGGTATTAGGGAATGATGGTAAATCACTTGTTGAGGTTGTGAATCTATATCGACTGAGATAGTTGGGCCACATGTTACGTATGCCTGAACACCGATTACCACGACGCTCAGTTCTGAGTAGTGTTGAAGACGGTTGGAAGAAAGTTAGTGGCAGTCAAACCAAAACATGATATTAGTCCTTGAAGTCACTGACTTCTATTCTGAACCATGTTGCTAAATGCAGACCACTTGGTTGGGGTCTGCGTGACTCTGCGGACATAGCTCAGAATTGATCACAATGACGTTGGTGTTTACACTCTTTGTCTTCTCTTCAACTGTGAGATTAAAACTACTTTATATCTTTCTTCCTACGAACTAATTCTTTTTCCCTGTATCATATCCTTATTTGCAATCTTTCTTTTATATATTACTACCATTGATGTCACTACTTCTATGAATTCGGTGTTCATCGTGTTGTGCTAGTGAGCTGTGGTAACCTGAATCGATGTATATATGTGCCTGGTTCTATCTTGTAACTGACTGACTAACTAAATCAATTATTTTCCTGAAAAATTTCAGACCGATTAGCCTAGAGAAATATTGGAATTATTTGAAATATAATTTTTATATTTTATTTCTTCGATATAATCTATATTCAATATTTGTTAAACTATTCCATTGAAATCTTAAAAATTGTTCAGATATAAATGAGAAAAAAACTGATTTTTTTACTGTATCTTAGATATTAAAGAAGAAGAAATGTATTTGTAAAATCAAAGCGAATAAATTTAAATTAAATCTAACATTTTTGTAAGCAATGATGGATAGTGGCTAGCAGTGGAATCCAGGATGCGCGTTTCGTCCTATTTGGGACTCGTCAGCTAGATGTACCTGAATCTCAGAGTTGATGCTCACCATGGGACTCCAATCCAGTACCATTTGCTTCAAACGCCATCACGTTATCCACTTAGCTACTGAGTTCTGATAGCCACTTGCTTGTGCAATGGGGTGAATTTAAATTCACTTGGCATTATTTGGCTTGTAGCTTCCCATAGAGGCTTAAGACTGCAATGTAACATTTCCCCTAGTAATCTAGTCTAAACTTTTTCAACGGAATATTATTCAAACATTACAATGATCAAATGGAAATAAAAGTACATGGTTCATTGATTAACTATAGACTAAATACATTATCAAATTAACATGACCAATTAAAGAGAAAGAATGTATTTGTAAAATCTCAGCGAAAGAATTTGAAGTAAATCCAACGTTTCGTCTGGCAACCTGGTCCAAGCTTTTTCAAGGAAACAATATTTCAAATAGATATTCACTTTAATGTGTAAATAACACATGTAATATGAAATGAAAAGTGTATTAAAATATCTTTAATATATATATATATATATATATATATATATATATATATATATTCGACACCCCTTTCAATTCAATTTCTTTTGATTCTATAGATTACTTTCAAAGAATAATTCTTTTGGAGTGATCTTTTTCTCTTTTTTAAATCTTTATATTCTAATACAGAAAATCTATTGCCTTTTATACTATGGTTCAATTATAGAAAATAATATTTCATCATTTACATAGAATATAAATGATTATTTCTAGTAGACATGACATTTCTTCATTAATCTTACTTATTCATTATGTAATCAGTTTTGATGAAGATTTTTCTATACGATCAATATTGTTACTATAAATGTTCATATGTGACTAGATTAGAAAGCAAAATGAAACTCACAACTCTTTTCTTAATTACTCATATATATTTATTTTTTTCACTTTGAATACATTTACAAGTGAATTAATTAATAAATTATTTGTATTTATTAGTTGTAATATATAGTGTTATGTTATTACTATTATTATTATTATTATTATTATTATTATAACAGTTCATTTGTATCAACAATTCATACTGGCTTAAGATAAAGATCATTTTTCATTTTCTTTTCATTTGCATTTGGTTCATCTGTATTTACTACTACCACTATTCTTGGCCATCTCCATTGTCTTCCTCATTTGGCGGAGGAACTGGCTCTTCTGGATATGGTGATGGTTGTGGCATTTCTTCTGTCGTATACTTATTTTGGTATTTTTTATATTTTCCCTTGCTTCCATACTTTCCTTTCTTTCCGTATTTTTTCGATTTTCCGTTTTTCTTACTTGATACCCGTTTGGTTGACGGCTTATATTTCTTATATTTAACATATTTTTTCGGCTTAGATTCATTCTCTTCTTCATCATCGGGTTTATCATTTTCCTCTTCACCATTACCGTTTTGTAATGCACTGGGAACAGGTATAGGCGGTGGAGTATTTTGCGGTTGTTTGAGATAATCAGGTAAATAATTCCCATATTGATCATATTTGGTAGGATCTTTTGGTGTATTACCATAAGCTTCTTCACCTTTTAAACCATGACCTTCTTCATAATATCTTGGTTTATAATGATGATATCCACCGAAAACTAAATCTCTCACTTCCATATCATATCTATCTAAATCATCATAATATCCGTGATGATGACTGTGGTTATTGTGTGGCCGACGATAATCTCCATCACCTTCAGGCCGATCTGGTCTTTGAGGTTTTTCAGGAGGCGAACGACCAGGAGGTGGTGGAGGTGGTTGTTGTTGTTGACCATCATCAGGACCCCGAGGTGGTGGTGGTGGTGGTGGTTGATCTCCATCATCTGGATTATGTGGTGGAGGATGTTGATGATGATCATCATAATTTCCTGAATAATGTTCACCATATAAGTCATTTCCATTATTGAAAAATGAATTAACATCGTCATCATAACCATCATGTGAAAATCCTTGATCACTATAAATTAATAGTATACATGTAATCAAATAAAAATAAATTAATTTCATATTTTATCGCCTATTTTTTTTCTTCTTCTTAAATAAAATTACTTTTATTCAATTTCAATAGATGATTGAATTATATAAACTAAACAATGAACATTTAAAAATAATTCAATTTCATAACTTATATTTATATACAATTAAAACAAATAAAAGAAATAAAATTCCTTTATCGAAAGTTCATATCAGAAAATAGATGCACTTAGATACATGCATATTTTGGAAAATAAAATAAAATCAATTTTACTCATTGATTCTTATCAAATATTTCTTTACTTAATAAAAAGCTTCTTTTTTTCAATGTATGTATCTGGCGAGGGTAAACATGGGATACAGTGGACAGATAGGATGCAGTTGGTTGATTTAGACTTCTTAGATGATCCGCCTCTTCTATCGCATATGCAACAACAAATGCAGGAAAAGACTACCAGTGTAGCAGCAGCTTCAGCAGCAGAGAGTCTCAATATACACAAAGGGAAAAGCAAGATTCTCCGATACAACACAGCATACACCAATCCAGTCACAATTGACGGAGAAGATTTGGAAGATGTAAAAACCTTTACATATTTGGGCAGCATCATTGATGAACACGGTGGATCTGATGCAGATGCGAAAGCGCGAATTAGAAAAGTAAGAGCAGTGTATTTACAATTGAAGAACATCTGGAACTCAAAACAACTGTCAACCAACACCAAGGTCAGGATTTTCAATACAAATGTCAGGACGGTTTTATTGTATGGGGAGGAAACCTGGAGAACTACGAAAGCCATCATCCAGAAGATACAGGTGTTTATTAACAGTTCCGTTGGCCAGACACTATCAGCAACAACCTACTATGGGAGAGAACAAACCAGATCCCAGCGGAGGAAGAAATCAGGAAGAAGCGCTGGAAGTGGATAGGACACACATTGAGGAAAGCACCCAACTGCGTCACAAGGCAGGCCCTCACATGGAATCCTCAGGGCCAAATGAAAAGAGAAAGACCAAAGAACACATTACGCCGAGAAATGGAGACATATATGAGAAGAATGAACAAGAATTGGATAGAACTAGAAAGGAAGGTCAAGGACAGCGTGGGTTGCAGAATGCTGGTCGGCGGCCTATGCTCCATCGGGGGTAACAGGTGTAAGTAAGTAAGCAATTTTATTATACTAATTGAAGGAGCTTTTATAGATATTGTCTTGGTTTTTAGATTGTAAGTTGTTATAGATTAATGTGAGTTGGGGTATTTACTAAAAATTAAAAAATAGCTGTTTAGCTGTATTATGAAGCGTCTTTTCAGTAGAGACTTATAACCTTACCAAGGATTAAACGAGGACTTTCAAAGTCCCTCAATGATTGATTAACCATTAGAACTGATGGTTTAAAATCTAATGATCAATAAATTTGCGATCTAAAGCGATAGTCGTCTAATATTACTGGTAACAACTCCTTTACTCTTTATATATATATACATATATATGTATAAATTCCAATAGCCACATCTGATTAAAAATTCAGAATTAGATGAGATTTCGCTGATAGACATAAAGGTTCTTGATTTGACTTTTGGTTGAATTGTGAGTACCCACTGCTGAGACTTACACTAATATAAAATAACTATATATTGCTCCCTGATTTTCAGTTGTACCCCTGATGATATAATCTTCCTTCAACCTGACCAATTTTATGGATTATTAATTTGTACATATAATTGTAGAACCTGATGAGAAATTATTGAAAAAAACATTCTTCGTTCATGTAATGGTGTTTTAAAATTGAGATTAATGATCAGAAGAAATATGGTTAACATGGTGTTAGAGAGTTAATGATGCAATTACAAATTAGAAATCATGTAATATGTAGAATTAGAAAAGAACGGGCAGATGCTAAATAACTACCTCAAAGCGTTTGTATGTGTTATAACAATAGTGATAACAATGGTAATAACAACAGTAATAATAATGTGTCTAAATTTAAGCTATGAAAATGCATAAAGGAAGGTTGTATGAACATTAATTGAATATGATCAAAATGATTATAAACTAATTGGGCTAGAAGTTGGCCAAGGTGAAAGGAGTGATTGAATATATTTTTTTCTGAACGCAAAGCTCCGGGTTTTTTATTAGAATGACTATTGCTTCAGGAGTCTGGTGGACTTAGTCAAACTGATGTTAACACAATATATTATTGTAGATGACTGCTCCATATTAGTTGTATGCTCCGCTTGTACTAAATGAGCTAAAATCGAGCTGTTAACAGTTTTAACTATACTTTTTCTTAACCACACTAGGAGGTGCTCACAAACAAGAAAATACAAATTCCTAGAACACCTCCCGATAAAACTTGCTCCACAAGAGCTATTAAATTGATAGATACAGAAAAAAGTGGCTAATCTAGGTAATTTAACTTTCATTCTTGGAGTGATCATCGGACATGCAAAAACACATTAATTGTAGTTTTCCTTCATTAAAAGTTTTTAGGTTTACTTTTTTTAACTTCAGTATTAGCACTTCACTGAGCTCATCGCCTCCAAATTATGGGCGTTTATATAGAGACATTTTGCTCACATTTGGGCCTCCCTTATACTATCTTTACATATCTAAATGTTTATTCATAAATTTCTCCAGATATCCATTTTTCTTCAGAATAATACTCAGTGCCTTCGTTACTTCATCAACCGCATCGAAGAAGCATATGGTCATGGTTCTATAATGAAGTGTCTTTATCAAGTTCCTCCTATATTGTAGAGAGAAAAACTAAGAAGAACTGTATATTGGCCGGTTGAAGTAGATTTTTGTTCAAGTTTCTTGTTAGTGACCCATCTATTCTCTTTGTAAGTAGAATATCTGGAAAGGCTATTCTGTCTCCACTTTCTTCGTCACATAGGAATTTAATAGATAGATGAACTTCATTAAATCATCTAAGTGTCTCAATCCGGTCAGTATGATCGCAACAATGCATAGACGTGTTGTCCATATATCGACAGTAAGATCAAACTTGCCGATGTTCTGTGCTGATGGATCATTTCCTAATTTAGTGAGGAAAATATAAGCCAACATGGGACCTAGTGGTGAACCCATTGCGACACCATTTATATGCCGATATATTTCTCCATTGAATTTGTAGTTTAAGTTCGTAGTACATTTCGGTAATAATTCCTTCATGATATCCACAGGGATTGTAGTCCCTATTTCCTGTTCTCTAAATTGTTCATAAAGATATTCAACAGTCTCCCTGTGTGGTACATCTGTCTACAACGATGTTATGTCCAAGAACGTCATCATCTGCCCATTTAGTGTTTATGTTTTTGATCTTTTTCTGGAGACTTACTTAATTACGCCTGTTACTCCTCGTGAAGGAGCATTGGCCACTCACCAGCGTTCTCCATCTAACCCTGTCCTAGGCAATCCTTTCTAGCTCTTTCCAGTTGTTATTCATCCTTTTCATATCTGATTCTGTTTCCCGACATAATCCGTTCTTTGACCTTCCTCTTTTCCGCTTCCCTTCAGGATTCCAAGTCAGGGCTTGTCTCCTGATGCAGTTTGGTGATTTGCGTAATGCATGTCCTATCCATTTCCATCGTCTTTTCCTAATTTCTTCTTCAGCTAGAAGCTGGTTTGTTTTCTCCCGGAGAAGGCTGTTGCTGATGGTATCCAGCCAATGGATGTTGAGTATCTTGCGTAGACATTTATTTATAAATACTTGTACTTTCTTGATGGTGGTTGTTGTAGTTCTCCAAGTTTCAGCTCCGTACAGTAAAACTGCCTTGACGTTCGTATTGAAGATTCTCACTTTGATATTGGTTGAAAGTTGTTCTGAGTTCCATATGTTATACAATTGTACTTTGCCAATCCTCACCTTTACGTCCGCATCTGATCCCCTTGTTCAACGATGATGCTTCCCAGGTATGTGAAGGATTCTACATCTTCCAGAGTTTCGCCATCAAGAGTGATTGGATTGATGTTCTCCGCTTTGAATTTGAGGACCTTGGTTTTCCCTTTGTGTATGCTGAGGCCTACTGATGCAGAGACTGCTGCTACACTGGCTGTCTTTATCTGTATTTGTTCGTGTGTATGCGATAGGAGGGCTAGGTCATCTGCGAAGTCCAAATAGTCTTATTGGTTCCGAGCTGTCCATTGTATGCCGTGTTTTCCCTCAGATGTCGAGGTCTTCATAATCCAGTCGACCACCAGAAGAAAGAGGAAGGGAGAGTTTAGACAACCTTGTTTGACTCCGGTCCTTACTTGGAATGCATCTGTCAGCTGTCTTCCATGCACGACTTTGCACTGTAGTCCGTCGTATGAGTTCCGGATACTGTTGACAGTCTTCACAGGAACTCCATAGTGTTGAAGAAGTTTTCATAACGTTCTCTTATCTACACTGTCAAATTCATTTTCATAATCAGTAAAGTTGATGTACAGTGTTGAGTTCCACTCAACTGATTGTTCGACGATGATCCGTAGTGTTGCAATTTGGTCTGTGCACGACCGGTCCTTACGGAATCCAGCTTGTTGATATCGAAGTTGATGATTCTGGATCCGTGAGATTCCCATCCAACAAGTGCATTTCGTGCTACTTTGGACAGCATAAGACCGACTCCCTGAGTGTGTGGAGCATTTTCCTCTTCGTGACCGGAGTATAGCAGCATCTCTGCCGTAGCTAGCCTTTTCTGTCCAGCTTGGGTCCAGTGGATTTCACTGATTCCCAGTACTGCCAAATTGTATCTCCTCATTTCCGTTGCTATTTGACTGGTCCTTCCGGTTTCCCACATTGTTCGGACGTTCCATGTACCTACAAAAATTTTTGCTCTGGTTGCTAGAAGAGGCATCGGCCTCGTGGCTTCCGAAGGAACTCAGCTTTCACCATGAGGCGTCATAGTTCTTCTATATGGAGACCTTTTAACTCCCAGGGCAGAGTTAAAGTGGTTTGAATTATTTTTTCTGGCTGGCGTATTTTAGCGAGTTAGTTTTCTACGGGATGGGGACGCTAACCCCATGCCCAACCCTCCTCCTTTACCCGGACTT